TCATCATCATCATCATCATCATCATCATCATCATCATCATCATCATCGCCATCATCATCATCATCACCACCATCATCACCACAACGATCACCATCATCATTGCATCATCATCGTCATCCACCCTCGCTCCTGCCCTCCTACCTTTCGTCCACCCCTCTCCACCAAGTGCACCCCGCTTTCGCAAGGCCTGTTACGCAGAAACGCTGGAGGCGACTGGAGCTGGGGCCTTGGCCTTGGCCTTGGCCGCGTCGTCGTCGTCGTCGTCGTCGCCGTCGTCGTCGTCGTCGTCGTTGTTGACCTTCCTAGAGCCTCAGTATAACTTTTCTTAGGTTCCCTTCAAAAATGCCAGGGAATGCAAAAAAACAAGGGTTTCTCATTAAATGAATCTCATCAGCTCACTCTTTGTCATGCTTCCCGGCTGATGCACACCTTGCTTTTTCCAATCATAAGTGCAACATCCCAGCTTCGCTCCATGAAGTCCACGCTTGGATCAAGTAACGTTAGAATGTGCGTCGCATGGTCAGCCGCACGCTGACTGGTCGACTCAACCTCGATGCACGTCCCACTGTGTCCTCGTCCTGTTGACATGCAGTCATCATAGGTGACATGGCTTCCCTTTGGTCCATGATCATCCAAGGACGACTTTTTGGTGTACAGAAAGACGAAGCCGAAAAAGTCGAGGAGTACGGGACAAAATCGCCGGTGTTTTGCTTCGGTTGTAGTTTTGGAGGTTGGAGATTAGGCGGTATATGCATATAAGTGTGTGGTATAGTGGTGGTATTGGATCAAAAAAACAGGTATCTTAATAAATAATTAGGTTTGTTTTGCAACCAATATCTTTGTGAAGCAGTTAACGGAACCAGTGCTTTAGAAGCGCACCTCGTGGGAAACATGTGTTTTTTCCTTCCAAGATGGGGGTTTCGATGTCATCAACTTGAATGTTTGGAAGGTGGACTCTTCAGAATCATTGTTTCGATTTTCCAGATTGAGGTGAAAACCTGTCTTGCTTTTGCAAATTGAACTCGAACATGTTAGTCAACCATGTGGAAACAAGAAGGTACTGGGACAAAATTGCGGCGAACTGCACTTTTGCAGTTCGAGCATGCGCAACAAACAAAAGAAACATGTGCATAGTTCCATACTTGAGATGTTCGACGATTCAAGTGATGACGGGTTGGGAAAAGGTCCGAAACGAGCCACCAGACACAGAGCTTAGATGCTTTCCATGCCTCCACCACACCCCATTTCAAACCACATGTCCATCGTTTAAACAACCCCCACTGAGAAACAATGTTGCCAGGAACTCACGCCGCAAGCAATGGCAGTGACCTGCTGGCTACAGGTGAATTCGAGATGCAATCTAGCGATTGCTGCTGGTGCGCTCTTATTGATGGACTGTGCAGGACGCCCCCGAGAAAGTAGTAGTAGTCGTGCCCCCCCCCCCGCCTCGAACTAGGAAAAGTAGTAGTAGTCGTGCCCCCCGCCCTCTCTTCTACGAGGGCCTTAAAGAAGGATCCTGTGCTACGAGGGCCTTAAGCCTTGAAGAAGGATCCTGTGCTACGAGGGCCTTAAAGAAGGATCCTGTGCTACGAAGGCCATAAAGAAGGATCCAGTGCTACGAGGAAGTATAGTAGTAGTCGTGGCCCCTCCCCGTCCTGGAATTGGGAAAAGTAGTAGTAGTAGTCGTGGCCACCCCCTTCCCTCCCTGTGCTACGAGGGCCTTGAAGAAGGATCCTGTGCTATGAGGACCTCAAAGAAGGATCCTGTGCTACGAGGCCTCGTCGAATTTTTTTACAGGCCCTAAAAGAAGGATCCTGTGCTACGACGGCCGTAAAGAAGGATCCTGTGCTGCGACGGCGTTAAAGAAGGATCCTGTGCTACGAGGGCCTTAAAGAAGGATCCTGTGCTACGAGGGCCTTAAAAGAAGGATCCTGTGCTGCGACGGCATTAAACGAGGGCCTTGAAGAAGGATCTTGCGCTACGAGGGCCGTAAAGAAGGATCCTGTGCTACGAGGGCCTCAAAGAAGGATACTGTGATGCGATGGCGTTAAAGAAGGATCCTGTGCTACGAGGGCCGTAAAGAAGGATCCTGTGCTACGAGGGGCTTAAAGAAGGATTCTGTGCTGCGAGGAAATAATAGTAGTCGTGTTCCCACCCCCCCTCGAAGTGGGAAAAGTCGTAGTAGTCGTGGCCACCAGGATCCTGTGCTACGAAGGATCCTGTGCTACGAGGGCCTTAGAGGAGGATCCTGTGCTACCCCGAGAAAGTAGTAGTAGTCGTGCCCCCCCACTCCCTCGTTGAATGCTTCTTACAGGCCATAAAGAGGGACCCTGTGCAACGATTCAAATGTAATGTTTTGAGATTAACTTCTCTGGATTGACGGACTTTTGTGGAGCATCATGGTCGAGTGACACTGAATGCACTTCATGTTCATGGCCAACCTTGCCCGAACCTCCTTGGACTTGGACGATTTACGGTTTGCCTTCTTCCCCCCCCACATACGTTCGACGTGTGGAAACTCGACTCTTTTGCAGGAAATTCAGAGCCACGCATGATTGCAGCCTCTGACGCAGCTCATGAGATGGGCAAAGGGTCAGGCGGATTCTTGTTCAGTGACACTTTCTTCTGTCGCAGACGAGCTGTTGTAAAGATTGATGCTCAAGTATTTCAGCTATGGCAGGCAAAGGATTTTGTCATTGCTCAACTTGAGTTGTTGATGGTTTTCCAAGCCTTGATCAGCTTTCCAGACTCCTTTAGGCACAACACATGCGTCTGGTGGATAGACAACATTGCATCATTGATGTCGTTGGTGAGAGGCCGATCAGACTCGCCAGACCTGGATCGGCTGGCGCAGATGATCCACATGTTATTGTTCAGCCTCCATTGCAACATGTGGTTCGAATGGGTTCAATCGAAATCTAATTGGACCGATGGTATATCTAGAGAAGGCTTCGCAGATCCGTTCGTTCAAGAATTTGGTTTCACTTGTCACCAAGTCGCAGTCCCACACCTGCTTTGGCAGCTTCCGCTCCTTCCCCTTAGTGTCGTCTTCAGCTTTCTTTAAGTGCGTTGGGAAATAGTGCCTTGGGTGCACACGTGAAACGTGAGGAAGATCCTACACCTGAGAATCAGGTCCATGCTGATGCGTGGATACCAATGCAATTGGCAGAAAGCCTTTGACTGGAGCTCAAGCGAAAGGAAAAGGGAGCGTAGTGCAAGCCATTGACTGAATGTTTGTGTGTTTGTTTAAGATAAAGACGTGTCGAAGGGCTTTTGTCAACAAACAGTAAAGCTTTGGGTTTCCACTGCTGTGTTTGTAGGTTCCTCTCAAGTTTGTGAGGGTAACCGCGTGTGCCCTTCGGCGCCGAGGTCTCTCAGTGGCGAAGCTTCAGCCGTCTGCGGCCGCGACGAGGCCGTGAGGTCACCACCGTGCCTCGGCCGTGCTGATGTAATGGTCGGAAGTTCGACTCGAGCGATTCATACCCCCGAATCACACCTCGAATCATACCACCGAATCATACCCCTCAAAAAGTATGTGTAAGAACCAGGGTCTTAGGTGAAGCTTTGGCTGGTTTTTGTGCCTTGTAGATGTTCGTGAACCAATGGTGCAAAAAGCATGGTGAGAACACGCCTAAGTTTTTTTTGAATTTAGTGGCCGTACCGAATCACGCCCGATCCATCCCCGTTTCATACTCGAATCACGCGCCCTGCGCCCACCCCACATCCCTGATTGTTCCCACCACTGCAATCGAAAGGGTCGTGCCTTTGGCGGGGTTTGGAGTCTTTGGTAGAAGAGTTCCTTGCCTAGTCTGCCCAGCAACCGCCAGATACTGCTTGCCTACTGCCTCAGTGCAGATGTGGGCCCACTGCTGGAAGGAAGTCTAGCCAGTCCAACATTGCAATTTCAAAGCTGCGAATCATACCCTCGAATCATATACCCGCGAATCATACCCTCGAATCATACCACCTGTTCAAACTTCCCGGCCCGACTACGGAATAAAAATACACACCCAAATGTCGTCTCCACGCGACGAAGGCCACGCGGACGAGAATATGTCGTGCCCAGATGACAACGGCCACGCGCATGAGACTACGTCGTGTCCAAACAACAAAGTGCATTTGCGCAAAAACTGTTTTACACACACACACCGGTCGATATTTTTGATGAGGCCCTTTATGGCATGTGGTCATGTTTTATGCGCGCCTTTGCTTTTGGATTTCAACAGCCAAACTTCTCCGCTACCACTTGCACACATTTCACAGTCATGGCAACATGAGCGGGTGAGATTTGATGCTGTCGATCACAGTTCAAGCTCTTGCTGCGGCCATTTAGAAGGACAAGGAGAGAAGGAAGACAGTACGTATATATTGCCAACAGAAGTGCAACGACAGTATGGGCATGTACATATGCATGCCCCATATGAGGAAAACAGTGCCTTTTGTTGCTGCCGCGATTCATTTGGAGCTGGGAAAGTTGACTACGTCTTCCCGACATAGCCGATTAATATCCACACGGAGGTTATCAGCCGTAGCCGCTCTTGGCTACGAGCTACTGAAAGACCACCAGATCATTGTCGACAACCAGACCTGCAATGTCTATTTCCGGAAGTAGCAGCGAACCGTTCTCCTTTGCCGCTGCACTTGGAGGAAATGTTTCACAATCATCACCAGGATCCAATACTGGTGCAAGTTCAGCTGACGCTGCAACAGTGATGACTATGCCCTCGCAAGCATCAGGTGAGAGTAGAGCTCAGCCACCGGCGAGTTCATCTCGAGCCAGATCGGGCAACACAAGAGTTCCTCTCAAAAGGTTTCAACGATCCACCTCTCCAGTGACAAAGCCTACAGCTCGATCTCCGAAAAGCTGTATTGAGAAGGCGAGGAGAGAAGAGGTTAACGACCCGATGGGAGAGATTCGTTTAACAGAGGATCTACGATCTTCAAGAATTGCCTATCAACAGCTCTACGACGAGTACACCTACTTGCAAGCTGGATACATATTCGATATCATGTGAAGAGTTCGCCCAGACGTCCGCCTACCATAACAGTACGCAAGCGCATCTCCAAGAGATGTCGCAAGCAGATGAAGGTGCGACCTACAGAATAGAAGATCTTGAACGCAAACTCCGACTCGCAGAATCAACTGCAAACCACATTTATGGAAGATGTGAGTTGCTCACACAACATAATAGCAAGGAACAGAATGAGATTGGCTCAGTGAATGCCAGGATGACAAGCATGTCGACCGAACTTCAAAGTGCATTCCAGTACAAGGGATTGCCTGGCTAATCCGGCTTTTTGTCTGGAAGAATTGTGTCTTTTTGTCATTGGCTTTCAACAATCATAGACTTGACACATTAAGGCAATCCTTTTGGATTTGCAAAAAAACCATTTTTGTTCCATATATCAAACACGCTTTGGTGCCAAAAAATGCTAGCCTAGCCAATCTCAAACAGAATGCAATAGCAACATGTTGTTTGTTTCAGAACAGAACAAGCCAAGCAAATCCCAGCCTGGCAAAGAATGCGCACAACACAACACACAACCACTGGCCAAGGCATCCCAGCCTTGCAAATCAATACAAAACAATGCAAACACAACATGGTGGTTACATTTCTTGACATAGGCCCCAGATCCAAGAAGGGGCCCATCTGTTTCCTTTGAGTTTGAACAAACCAAGATTCATTAGGTCATAAAGGCATGTGGACATGAATGGGCGTGCACGTTGTTTGCACATGCCAACTTTGAAGAAAGTACACCAGCTGAGAGGATGCCAAATAAATAACAGTTGTTTGAGACGGCGCAGAATAGTCTAGCCTACATAAAATGCATTCAAATTCAAGTGGCTCTGGAAGGATGCCATCAAATTCAATTGACTCTGAAAGAATGCAATCAAAATCGAAAAGGTGGTCTCAAAGCATACTAAGTACAGTGAGGGAGCAATAGCTTTCTCACCTCAGGAACAAATAGCAAAGCAAAATGAACCCTGGCCAGCTGTACGGTTTGCAGGCGAAGATACCAGTACCGGCATTCAATAGCCCATGAATAGCTAGAGCTGTCGATCATCATAGAAGTGAATTCAGATAGAAAAGCGGCTTTCACATACAGAGACCTAAAAAAGAAATCAACGACACTCGCGCAACAAGAGCTGAAAATAGGACCGCGCTAATGCATTGAATTAAACTGCCTTGCAAAATGCAAGGAGCGCATTCGGTCCGAGGAATGGTCTTGACAATTAGTGGTCTCGGCCGCTTCCAAAACAGGGCTAGCACCTAAAACATTCGCATCAAAAGGACTCTCACTCGGAGACACCGGCAACATGTATGTACAAAAACGCACAACAAATGCCACATGGGTTGACTTGATCCTCATCCATGAATGGATGTCCATCAGAGGTCAATCCGCACATAGCTCCTAGTAGATAACATCAGTTTTGAAAAGCTGTACTCACCTAATGCTAAAGCAACAAACAAGGCCCGCAAGAGTATCTTCTTTGACAAAAAGTATCTCTAGACTGCAGACCATAGTTCATTAAACCTTCAGCCTGGCAGAGGCGCGGAAGTGAAGTCCCAAACTGTAAACAGCAGCCTCTTCAACTTCCTAGCCGTCCTTAAAAATCAACGCCACCGGGAGCTACCTGCCGCTGCAGTCGAAGGAACTGGTTGGTCAGAAGTTGGCGGCATAGATCCTTGCTTTCTCTCCTTCTGCCTCTGCTTTCAGGGTTGCTCCTCAAGTTGGCCTGATGGAGAGTTGCTCCTTGGCGATAGCAGGAGAGAAGGTAGCAGGCCTGAGTGAGATATACGTAGGACCATGACTGTCATCGTCAGAGGGTCGTGAACACATGATCTCCGTGTCAATCAGTCCAAAGTTCTCTGAACAATTACAGATGGACCCTTTCGTGTTCACATCGGCCTTTTCGTCATCTTCATGACTCAAAGTATGACCCCACCCAATGATGGTTGTCAAACATGTATCGCCAACCCTTGGAAATCTGGCCTTTTCTGCTTCTGACAAATCTTCCCAAGTCCTATGGATGTACGCTGAGGTAGTCCTTGTTGCTATGAGTACTAGCATCCGTCACAACGGCCAAGGGCCAAGTTCTTCACATTAAAGAAACTAAGCCTTGACCTTTGCTTGTACAATGCGAGCAACTTTCTCTGCCAGCCCCAGGCTAACTGTTCACTGACTCCTCCTTGTGGGTCATCTTTCCGCAGAGCGCAAATCTTATGGTATGACACCCCAGTCTCCTTGCTCTGCTCAATGACACGCCAGATCTCATGAAGGCTCATCCTCCGAAGCTTTCCCCTGTTTGTGACTAGGAATGATGTTGCCACAACTTCTAAAACTTTACACACCTGAACAATTACAGTTCAGATTAGACGGATAATAAATGCAACCAAATTTTGGCTGATCTCTCACCTGCTCAAACGTCTGGATGGCAATGGTTGAGAATCTTCCTGCTGGGTCATCATCTCAAGCACCACAGTGTTGATGATCAAGGCCACAAATTTGAGAAGGCAACATTGCAGATCCTTCATACTTTCCATGGACAAATTGGAAGGCTTTCGATGCACATGGGACTCCTTGTAGCAATGGACAAAATTGACACAAAAGACGAATAAATCTAAAAATGCTGGCTCATCCTCGCTGTTGCTGACATCTTCTGATAGAAGTGGCCCATTGTCATCACTGGCCATCCATCTCCAAGTTGCAAGCCATTGTTGAGCCAGATTTTGGCGGACATTTGTTCGTAGCCAGTGACGGAAGCCTTGCACCTTCCCATTACGCAAGAGACATATAGCAAATTGACCGACTGAAAATTCCAGTTCATCTTTGTGGCGACTTGCTTGCTGGGAGACTAGCGTCCCAACATCTTTGAAATAGTTTCCCAAAGTTTCTACCTTGGCGTCACAAAATGTCCGTCTCGACTTGCTCAGGAGGTTGAGGAAAAGGTGCAAAACCAGCAGTGTGCTCACTGCATCAACAGCCAAGAGCCCCTGCCTGCACAGCAAATGCAAGGAATTGACAATGCAGAAACATAAAAACACATATTCATGTCAAATCATCAAAAAGCAACACATCGCCTGGCCTTTTTCTTGCTTTCACATGCAAATCTGCCCTGGGTAAACGCTGCTCTTCACCACAAAGTGTCTGGAGTTCCTGCGCGATCTTGTACTTTTGCTTCGTTTTCCCCACTCGCTTGAGCTTGTCATAGACATAATCAAAATCCCACATGAAACCAGCAGGTCCATTGTAGCCAACTCTACCAAACTTCAAAACTGAGTGTTCACACACACAAGGCTCCAGGTCCACAGTCAAGGACTCAAAGTGGTCACCCTCGTCCTCGGACTCGCCATCCGAGGCCATGGCGGTGCACAATTGACTCAATTGTCAATTGACTCAATTGAATGACAATTGTCTCAATTGAA